CATGTATTATTTTCTTACGGGGACAAAATGGAGGATGAGTGGATCCAGCACTTACAGTTTGAAGGGATGTCCCCGGAGATTAGTTGCAGTGGCGAGTTGGAAAAATTCGTCACACGTGAGAGCGCAGTCCAAGCCATGCACGATATGAAAGGTTGGTTTTAAATCTCCCCGTAACTGCCCATAACTCAGGGGATAGTGATTAAGGTTATTTAGGCGGATCTCATATGTTAATGCACCTTGGTCTCTTACTAATTTTGTGGCCTACCGCTGCACCCTTTCAAGTACGTATAATCCCTCCACATCCACGGTCTCCAGGCTGGACTCGCGTATTCAAGATATGAGCCGCATCCACGGTCTCCAGGCTGGAATCGCGTATTCAAGATGTGGCCTTATAAGGTACCGAAGATTTTCGAGAAACAGTCTTCATCAAAAACCGTGAATGCCCGCTGGATGGCTTACAATATTGAAGTTGCAGTTTTAGTCGCCTTACAACATTGTGTAGAAGGTTTGAGGTTGTCTGTCATCCAAATGCCGAGATTTTTCTGTATTTCTGCTTCTTGGAGTGGGATTCCGTTCAGATGATAGGATCGCACATCAGGGACCGGATTTCGATTTCTAAGGCGCAGAAGAGTGCATTTGTTCGAAATGAAGGACAGCAACCAACTACGTGAACAATCGTTTAATCGATAAAGATTTTCCTGGAAGTTATCTTCATCGGCGGAATCCTGATGACCTTCCATATTTTTACATCATCTGCAAACATGGTACACTCGCAGTCCAAATCCTGTACACAATCATTAACAAACAAGCGAAAGAAGGTGGGTCCGAGTCCGAGACCGGTTATCGCCTCGTCATCTCCAACATGAGGATCAATCTTCAACCATGCAGGCGAACTCATGATAAGCGAGCTCGGGTAATCTGAATACTATTTTGTTGAATTTACCTGCTAACCACCTGCGTTTCAGCAACGAACTGGGTCAATGGCTAGCCAATCTTCCAGCCACAGGTGATATCGCCTCCGTGAAGAACTAATGGTTTCAACTATGGGACACTGTCTTATTCAACGCCCAGCGTGTCCTTGGCCACGCACTTCGCCAACTCCAGAATGGGTTGACGAAAATGATGCAGTCATCAGCAATCTGCTCGCCCATAAGAACCACCTGCACAAAGCCTACATGGACTGCGCTGCAGACGCCGCCAAAGCAGCTTACTACCGATGCTGCCACCTTGTGCAACTGCGACTATGAGAAATACAGGATGCTTGTTTTCTCGAAAGAGCGAGGAAATGGAAGGTTACACGGACCGTAATCAATGGAAGAACTTCTCCATTGCGATTAAGCCTTTTTTATTATTCTACAGTCAAAGGAGCAGCTGCCTTTCTCAGCGCTGACGGAACTATCCTACTCACCGAGAAGACACAGAGTCTGAAACCCTGGGCTGAGCACTTCCGAGGCGTACTAAACTATTCCTCCACCATCTCCGATGCCACCATCAACCGCTTACTTCAGGTGGAAATCAACGCTGACCTCTACCTCCCCCCCACCCCTCAGGAAACGAGTAAGGCTGAGCAGCAATTTCCCAATGAGAAAGCATCCCGTTCCAATGCGACCCCTGCGGAGATTTATAGATACGACGGCCACCAGCTTATGTCCGACCTAACCACGCTCCTCCAGGGGATGTGACAACAGGGCCATCTCGCCCAGGGCTTCAAAGACGCTAAACTTGTCCACCTATACAAATTAAAGGTGCACTACAAATTCTATGACCATCATCGGGGAATTCTTCTGCTCAATATCGTTGGGAGATCATTGCTTGTGTCCTCCTAAACGGCCTCAAAAACCACCTTGAACAAGGGCTTCTGCCAGAAAGCCAGTGTGGTTTTCGTCATCATCGCTGTACCACTGGGATGATCTTTGCCGGGCAATAGCTGCAGGAGAAATGTCAGTAGCTACTCTCCACTCTTTCTTAACAGAATAAACTCATCCTAGCACTTCCCTTCTGCTAAGAAACAAGGCTTGATTATCTTATTGGCTAGAGTTTACTCTGTTAAGTTTAATAAATCGACAAGGCTGTGTACTTGCGCCTTCCCTTTCCAGTCTCATGTTCTCAACCATTTTGATGGATGTCTACCCTGACGAGCGTCAGGGATCCGCATCAACTTCAGAACGTACGGACAACTCCTCAACATCTTACATATGCAGGCCCCCACCCGGGTCTCTACAACCAGACTTCACGACCTGTTTTTCGCGGGCGACAACACTCTCAACACCACAACGGAAGCAAACATGCAAAGCAGTATGGAAATCTTCGTCACTGGTTGCGCAGACTTCGGTCTCACCATCAATACGGGTAAAACGGTGTTCGTGCATTAGCCGCAAGTGTTTATTACAATGCTCTACGGATCAATATCAACGTCTTCGAGCTCAAAATATGGACAAATTCGCTTATCTCAGCACGTTACGCCGCAACGCCAGAATCGACGACGAGATTGCTCACCAAATCTCCAAAGCCAGTCAAGTCTTTGGCCGACTTCAAGTCTCCATGTGGAACTGTCATCATCTCCAGTTGTCCACGAAGTTGAAGATGTACAAGGCCGTCGTCCTCATGATACTTATACGGGGCGAAGACTTGGACTATCTACGCCAGCCAAACTCGGAAGCTGAAGTAATTCCATGTCAGCTGTCTCTGCCGAATACTGAAGTTGATATGGCAGGACAGGGTTCCGAATACGGAAGTCCTAGAGAAAACGGGAATTCTCAGCATCCACGCCATGCTGCAGCATGCAGCAGACGCCTGGTACGGATGAACGACCAGCGACTACCCAAGAGACTGTTCTACGGTGATGTCGCTGTGGGTGCTCGCCGCCAAGGAGGGCAAAAGAAGCACTATACGGACAGATGAAGAACTCCCTGAATTGCCTTAAAATCCGCACGACAGCCTGGTAAGAACTCGCACAAGACAAGTCTGCGTGGCGAAGCGCGGTGGTAGTAAACATTCTTTATTTGGTGGGTGTCGGTAGAAAATGATGCGTGGTTCCTGCTCTGATGATTAAGGATTTATGCGGATTTCCCAACGGGTGTTAGGACCGTACATTTGTTAGGCGAAAAGCACAACATCCAGGGCCTTTTCACACTCCGTAGGTTTTCACCAGTGCGGTATATCTAGGTTTTGCCTGCTAACTTAGCAAATCCGGGCACGAAACAGCAAGTAGTTTTCATGAACAGTTCGACCTAGCACGGGGTATAGAGAAGTCGCTGATGAAACTGAGAGTGACCACAGAAGAATTTCCACGTCGTAAGCGTCCTTGGTTTTTTTCCAGTATTTCCTCTCCTGTGACAATTATAGAGGGGGTTTGATAAATGAATGTTATTTTTTCCAGATATTCCCGAGTGGCGAATGTTCAGCATCCTACTATAGCGTGTGTGTATTGGAAGAGGTTCATGTAGCTTTTGAGGACTACGAAGGCACAGGGAGATAGTTCAACAGAGTAATGTTTAGATATAGAAGCAGAAGGCGTTTCGATCACTGGAACCATATTTTTACTTTTCTGAGCTTTCGGGGCTCTTTCTAGAGTCCATCATCCGAGATAAAAAGCGTAAAAGAAAGACCAGCAACAATTATAGGGAGCGGGAGCCAATAAACCGTTATCGAGGGGAGGGCGGAAGGGAAGAGGGGGAAAAGTCAACTACCAGTGCAATCAGTCCGGAGATTCCTGCGCAGCGCGATTTATGACGGCGCCAGATCAATAAATTGATTGACTGAGTTCTCATCCGAGGCCCAGGCTTCAATCAATTCACGGACTGTTTTGTTGCCAGCGTGCGCGATTACCCTCGCAGCTGCGAAATTAAACTCGTGACCAGTCTCGTAGGTATGGGCGGCCACTTGCAATAATGCGCCACCCCGTCGTACCGCCAGCTTATGTTCGTGTGTAGTGGTCTCTGCCGTTCGACACCCTCCATTGTTTTGTCCGGCGTCATTGTTCAAGGCCAGTTGCCTCAAGATCATCCAATACCTCAGTCAGCGCTTACAGTCGCGCTGACCTGCAGAGACTTGACCTACTTCTACTCGGACACACACGTGCGTCTAGGTCCGGGGTTGGCAACCCAAGGCTTGCGAGCCAGGTGTGGCTCTTTTGACGATTGCCTCTGGCTCTCTCAGATAAAATTGGAATTTGAAACTTCAGATTTTGTGATTTTTATTCATCCATTAATAAGTCCAGAGGCTTATTATACCCACATTTGATTGAACTGAATCTCAAAATATATTATATGGCTCTCACTGAAATATATTTTCAAATATTTGCTTCCTTGGCTCTCTGAGTCAAAAAGGTTGTCCACCCCTGGTCTAGGTTCTCGAGGCTGCCCAAACACCACTCGAATAAGTCCCTTTTTCCCCACTCTCGGCCACCAGACGT